AGCTGAACGGGAGCCAGCACAGTGCCGAGGTGGCCAAGAAGGCCAATGGCATCCTGGCCTGTATCAGGAACAGTGTGGCCAGCAGGACCAGGGAAGTGATTCTGCCCCTGTACTTGGCACTAATTAGGCCACACCTTGAGTACTGTGTCCAGTTCTGGGCCCCTCAGTTTAGGAAGGATATTGAGGTGCTGGAGCAGGTCCAAAGGGCAATGAGGCTGGTGAAGGGACTGAAGCACAAGCCCTGTGAGGAGCTGGGGATGTTTAGCCTGGAGAAGAGGAGGCTCAAGGGAGACCTTATCACTCTCTACAACTACCTGAAAGGAAGTTGTAGCCAGGTGGGGGTTGGTATCCTCCCAGGCAACGATCAGTAGGACAAGAGGGCAGTTTTAAGATATGCCAGGGGAGGTTTAGGATAGACATTACGAAGAAATTCTTTATGGAGAGAGTGATCAGACAATGGACCAGGCTGCGGAGGGAGGTAGTGTATTCACTGTCCCTGGAGGTATTTAAGAAGAGATTGGAGTGGCACCTAGAGCCATGGTCTAGTTGACAAAGGTGGTGTTGGGTCATAGGTTGGACTCGATGATCTCAGAGGTCTTTTCCAACCTAGCTGATTTTGTGATTCTGTGTGATTCTATGAAATTTGCTACTTTCTACTAGAAAGTAAGAATCACATAAGGGCAAAAATAAAATAATGATATTAACAAAAAAAAAAACAACCCAAAAATATGCCGCAAGATGTTACTTCACAAATAGTAAAACTAAATTGTGAAACTGAATTTATGTAATACCCTTATCTGATAAAAGAAAAAAAGAAAACAACCAACTTTAAATGTGAAGGTTACCACATAAACCCTTATTTTCCTCCAGAATGTAAATATTAAGATTCATTCTTTCCCCAAATCTATATTTTCAAAGACTACATCATGGTTGATTTTCAAATGCACGGAGACAGGGAATACAACACACAAATTTTCACAGTGACTATCTGATTCTAATCATTATTTTGATCTATAAAAATGTCAAATGTCTATACAATGTCAATTTGCCTATTGTACAATCTTTTCCACCAAAAAACATACCAAAATTTTTTCATTACCAATGCACTGTCTTACACATCATAAACTATGGAACAGAATCAGTTCTCTTGACAGATCTGCATCATCACCAGCACTTCTGCTTGGCTGTACCAGGTAGATACTATGATTTTTTTCTCCTCCTGTGCTGTCATGATTATGCCAACAGAATACAGTTGGATGTACCAATCTTAAAATTTCAAAGCATAGAACAGATATTAATTTATGTCTGCAACACTAACAAGCAAGTAGATATTTTACATATCTGGAAATCAAAGAAAGGTGAAGTGCTTTGTCTAAAGGCACTTGGAAGAAATGAGTAACAAAGCCATAATTAAAATTCAACATCAAGCTTCAGGTTAATCCTTGAGACTTAACTGCCTTTTTTTCAAAGTGCATGATTTGGAACATCAAAATAAGAATCAATTCAGTCTCTTTTCTCACTACATCCTTTAATGATAAAATAAAACACCACATTCAGCTTCTTCCCCTGTACTCACACGAACAATCATCTTTCTTAGGAATCAAACTCATGAAATCATTTTGAATTACAAAGAACAATTACAAAGGAAGTCAAGTCACACATAAAATTTGAATTCCACATTTGATTTGGCCTGTACCTCTGTGTACTGAGAGACCCACAGGAAAACACACATACGTGCTGGGTATGCTAGTATACCAACTTATACTAGACCAATTTAATTAGTTTGCTTTCAATGCAAAGGTGCAGCACCTCAGCAATTATGAGATCGTTAATACAACAGAGCATAACAGCACCTTTAGAGATCTTGTCTAACCTCTAGGCACACATATAACTCCCATTAAGACTAATGGGAGTCACATGTGTGTATCCAAGAGAAAAGAGACCCATTAAAACTGATACAACATATCCATTAATCTTCAGGTCACTCTTAAGGTCAAACATTATAAAAATGTTTATGAACAGTACTTACTAGGTATTCACAGTGGCTACTTTGGTTTTGGTACAGACCTGTGAGCAGTTAAGGCCACGGAAAATGTCTGCATTAAAAGCATCACCACGTTTCAAGTAGTGGCACAGAAATTTGAGAGCGCTTTTCTGTAGTCAAAGAGGACATTTTTCTATCATATCCTGAAAGAATTAGAAGGATAGAAATGACAGAGAAGGCTAGACACAAATGAAAACCTTGGACAAAGGTATGCTGCAGCTTTTCATTTTTCTTCCATCCCCCACTCTTTCTTCATATTTCAGTCCCTTAGTTGTGGTTTTCCGCTTCAGGAAGAATATTAATAGCAGTAACTAAATTCCTAATCTGTGAAGCCTGCTACAAAGACACTACAAATAACATTTTGATTATTGAATCACCAGCAAAGCACAACAATTCAAGTACTGCTTGCAGGGAGTAAAGGGTGTTTAAAGTTTTTCAAAGGGAAAGGTAACTTCAGTTTACTCTCCATTTCATTCAGCATACCTGAAAATTCCCTTTTTAATCACTGGAGGAGTTTAAGCAAGCATGCTCTTTTCCAGTTTAGAAAAAGATAAGTCTGTAAAATCGATCTGTTCGGCAATGAATTTGCAGTCTTCGTCCAAACTGAATCCTGGAGGAGAGAGAGAGAGAGTTCTCACCAGCATGAGGGCCAGATGATCTCCATATGAACAGAGCAGAAGGAACAGGGGGAGGAAATCTGTCAGATGAGTACAGAAATGAAAAAATTAGGACAAAATTCAGATATGAAATACTCCTGTTTGTTTGCTGTTTCTTTCAGGAACTGGAATAAATGAGGAAAAATGGCTTCATCAAGACTTACTCATGAACTGTTCTGAAAGTCATCTTTCAGAACTCATGTCAAAACTCTTATTTTGTATGTGAGACTTGTTCAGCACTGCCCTATTACACTTCCTGTTACAGGGTCTGCAAGTATTCCAAACACTGACAAATTAGCATTGCAACTTTTGTTCAGAGAACTCATGAGACACAGATAGTCAGCTGCACCTGCAGTGTCAAGTCAAAACAGAGGCAAGCTTTCACCTAGAAATCACAGCTCCCAGAGACAGTCATAATATCAGCCTACCAAGAAATAGCACATTGCTTCACTCTTGAGCTTCTCTATTGCCTTTCTCTGCTATGCCCACATAACACAGGGTCTCACTTCAGAAGATTTTAGATGCTGATAAACTCTCCAGTATCCTGCACAAGGAAGTGTTTTTGTTGCTAATTCAAATACTCTATGATAAATAAATAATAAATTAATATTATGGTTCAATTAATTACTCCTCTGCAGAAATAAAACATTACATGGTTTTGTTTTAAAAACAAAGCAAAAATTACCCCAAATACCTTGGTGTATATAGTAGACTATCTAAACATTTGGGGGTGATTGTTTTTCCTTTATTAGTGGTCATAAGCTTTCCACAGCAACATCTTTTTGTGAAACAGAAGTGCCTTCCTAGCTCAAAAGATTTTGCTTAAAACGTATTTTTCATAGAAAAGACCTGATCCCCATTTTGTGAAATCAGCCAAGCGAATTAGCCTTATTCACTTCAAACAGTTCTTCTAAAAGAGGAATTGCTCATTGTTAACAAAGGCATCTGTTTTGCTTTATCATTGTGAAAAATTACATGTAAATCCTGAACAAAAGTGTTTTTTCAAGAGTCTGATATTCCTAAAGGCCTGTACTTTGTTTTGGGGCACCTCCAGTAGTCCAGAGCGCCATCTAATTTCTCGTCTGTGAGTTAGAAAAAAACAGTACAGAATCCATCAATATGTGCCTATGGGCTCCCAGTCTCCTCAGCACAGATAACCTCAGCAAGGTATCTGAGGAACTGTGACTCTCAATGTCATTTGTGAATCTGTGCTCATGAATATGTCAAAACTGAATACAGTTACGGTTTGGAAATAAATAAATCACTATTTGAGTATCTTTTAATCCCTATGTTTAATAAACATTGTCAATTCCTATCAACCTGTTCTTAGAGTTCCCTTTAATTTGCTTTCTAGAACGGTAATAGCCAACTTTTCAATGCAGTTTTCCCCAAGGTGTACAATTTATCCAAATAAAAGCTCTGAGTCACCCAAAACACTTTCAACCCGTTCTCAGCAGGAGAACCTGGCTGACACTGACGCCACTTACAAAGCGAGCAGATACGAAACCAACAGTGCTGGCGTGTTACTGATGGGGAAATACCCGCCTGCAGTACTTTTAGGACGTTGCCACATTTCCTCCAGAGTCAGCTCAGCTTCTACTCTCACAGCCCTGTGATTCCCGCCAGTAAATCCTCCAGAGGCCCCTCGCCGCCCATAGGCTGCTCCCCGGGCTGGCCCCGGCTCCAAGCGGCTCGGCCTCGCCTTCCCCGCACCACTCCCGGTGACCACCCCACCCCGAGCCGGAGCCTCTCCACGGCCCCATGGGCGGCCAGGAGCCCCTACTGGCGCTCGCCGAACTGCAGACGGTGGAACCGCAGCGCGGGTTCTCCCGGGACACCTGACCCGGGATCGCGGGCCCCGGATCACGCGGACGCTCCAGCTGCCGGGTGGCCCCGCTCAGCCTTGGAGCCGTCCCGCCCCTACCGCTCCCATTGGCTGTTCCTTCTCCCTCCGAGGCGCTGATTTGCTCCTCGGCCTGTCAGTCAGGCAGGCGTGCGCCCCGCCCCAGCACGGCCCCGGTGCGGGAAGCGCCTCTCGCGCGCCGTCCCGGTGTCTCCGAGCGCTTCCTGCGCAGCCGCGCGGGCGGCACCGCGGTCACTGCGGCCGAAACGCCGCCCGGGAGCGGCCTCTGCCCCGCGCCGGGGTGGCTGAGCGGAGACTGCCCGGGGCGGCCCCGTCCGCGCAGAGCTTCTCCGGGAGGCTAGAGGCAGAGCCCGGCGGCGGCGCAGGTCAGTCGGGGCGCGGGGCGGGACGAGCCGGAGGGGCTGCGCTGGGCAGTGGCCGCGGTCTTTGGCGGATCCCGGTCAGGCTCCTCCCGCGGCCCGGCAGGCCGGGGCAGTGCCGCACGGTCAGCCCCTCTGGGTCAGTCCCCGGCTCTGCTCAAGGGCCTGCCTGTAGGAATTTGTGTTCAGCTTCCTGCTCTCCCCGTGCGCCTCCCTGCTGGGAGTCCCGCTGGCGCTCAGGCTCCTGGTGCAGCAGAGGGATGGCGAGGGTTCTGGCTAGGCCCGGGAGTGCGGGAAGAGAGGACGGAGCCTGGGGACAAGCTCCATAGAGAGGAGAAGGTATAATATCTTGTCGGAGGAGTATTTTCGTCTCAGCTGTTATTCTGATGTCAGTTGAGAGAGTGAAGCATTTATAGTCTCCAAGGCTCTTTCCTGTGACTGCGTGCTATAGGTGACAAGGTTTCCTGTAGGAAACCTGCTAAAGGTGAGGGTGGCAGCTTTCCACTTTCTGTTTATCCAATTTTGTGTAGCCTGTAAGTAACAGACCATTGGTTTTCCACAAAATGAAGGTGGATTTATTGTGAATGGCCAGTGTGTTTTGACAGAGGGCTGAATTCTGCTTATGATATTGTCCATACTGGAAACCAGAGCACTGTATGCTTTCTGTGTGATCTTCGCCTGTCAGTGGGAGGGAGGTGTTCACCAAGGTCAAAGATTGTCTGGCCAATTAGTAGTAAAATCTGACTCCAAAATATTTTGCCATTTGATTTTACTGGAAGTTAGTGAATTCTTGTCAAACTTTTTTGAGCTGTTATTAACATATAGTTCAACAACAGTTGCAATATAAGACTAGGAGTTGAGAGCTATTTCTCTATAAGACTAATACTATTTTTAGTCATTATGAAGATATGTTTTATTAGTGCTTTCTTCTACAGATTCTTTTTCATCTTTCTGCTTTTGTTTCTATTCATCAGCAGCTTGTTTTTCAGTTCCTGGATGTCCACCATCACTAGTTTATCTAATAAAGTGATTACTAGGAGAACAGCTGAAAGTTTCATTGCTGGTACCTTAATTGGAGTAGCAGATAAACTGTTAAGGGGATTAAAAATTTACGTGTCTGATTTTTATTTTTTGTGTGTTCATGCTGCATGAAGTCATCAATTTCAGTTACTTGCTGTGAAGTTAAATTCATAACTGTAAGATATATAAATTAACTCATTAAAAGGTGGGTTTTTTCATTTTTAATTTTTGATAGAAATTGAATAGACCAGTAGGGCACATAATCAAGAGTATTGGAGGGATTTAACACTTATATTTCAGTTCTTCTAGAATTTACTACAGAAATAGATGATTATGTCAGTATTGGAACACCTACTTTGGTTGCTAGTGCTCTAGCATTAGTTACTAGTAAGAATACTTCTTTGGAGTTAAAAATTGTATTTTCCACGAACGCTTTCTTTGGAGAGAATAGTTCAACACTTGAGTCTGTGGTGATGTACATGGAGAAAAGCCAGTGGTGTACGTGAGAGATTACACCATGAGTAAACTAGTTCAGTTTTCTGTAGAAAAAAAAATATATCCAATATTTTGCTATCCTATACTTTACAGTAATGTTTTTTAAATAATTTTTCTTCCGGGTGAATCAGATGGTATTTTTATTGCTAACAGTTGTCGGAAGTTTATGTCTGCCTGTGCAAACATACTTCAGAAAGCAGCATTATGTTTTGTTTTTAAAAATCTTAAAATTTTAATAGCTTATGCATTTCATGTCCCTATACTCGACACTGGTGAGGCCACACCTCTAGTACTGTGTTCAGTTGGGGGCCCCTCACTGCAAAAAGGACATTGAAGTGCTAGAGTGTGTCCAGCAAAGGGCAACAAGTCTTGTGAAAGGTCTAGAAACATGTCTTATGAGGAACAGCTGAGGGAGCTGGGTTTGTTTAGTCTCAAGAAGAGGCTCAAGGGGGACCTCATCACTCTCCACAACTGCCTGAAATGAGGCTGTAGTGATGCGGAGGCCTGTCTTACCTACCATGTCTACAGTGAGAGGACAAGAGCAAATGGTCTCAAAGTGAGACAGGGGAGATTCAGATTAGATATTAGAAAAAAATGTTTGCATTCTTAGGGTGGTCAGGTATTGGAATAGGGCTGCCCAGGGAGGTGGTGGTCACCATCCCTGGAAGTGTTTAAGAGGTGTCTGGATCTGGTGCTGGGTGATGTGGTTTAGGGATAGTGGCAGTGCTGGGTTGATGGTTGGATTTGATGGTCTTAAAAGTCTCTTCCAACCTTTATGGTTCTATGATTTACACTTCTAATTACGCTAATGCTTATAAGTGTTCTCTGTATTGCTAAATTATTGACAGTCTGTGGATTGGAAAGTGGAATACATTTCAAGCTCTTCACTGTGAATGTTTTGCAAGGATGTTATATTACGTCCTCTTTCTTGCCTACCATTCTGTATTGTATTGAGAGAGACTGAAAGAGGTGGGGTATTGAGGACTTTTTAGAAGTGAGAGTTTGTGTGTATATCAATGTTTTTAAAACCCTGGTCTTATGCATATATATTTGCAGTTTTTAAAGTAAGAATTATGTTTATTATTGAGTACAGAGCATTGTGAAATTGCATTAATCTGGACCACAGCAACTGAAATAACCCTTTGGTTAGCCTTTTGCCTCTATTTCTAAGTCCTTTTAACTTCTAGATCTGCCTTAGTTAAAACTTGTGAGGTTTAATTTGTTGAGATCATCTTTTTCAGCAAATGAAGAAAATCCGTTCCCATTGATGTTGGTATAATTAAGTAAACAAACTCTGCATGAGTGTAAAAATATCTTTTACTTTTGTTAGAAATGTTAAAAACTGTAAAGTAATAGTAGTGAACTTATATATATCTGAATTGGCTTATGTTTAAGTGAGCTACCCTTAGAACTCTGAGTATAGCAGTACAAATATAAAATTTCATCTTCTGAATCTATTTCTTAAAAAATTTAATTTCTTAGGTATTGGGCCTGCAGATGCATTATGACTCTACTCGCTTATTAAAAGGCTGTCAAGTAGTTGGTGTGGTATGCCTCAGTTCATGTTGGTAGATTATTAAGGACTAGGCTTGATATATGGAATGTCTGTTTTGTGCAGGAGGATGTTTAGATTTGGGAGGGAAATTTTTTATTTGTTTGACAGCTCTGGATATTTTTCTCCTTTTAGATTCTTCTATTATTTCCCCATCCCAAGACTGTAGGTGTAATTTCATTGGAGAATGTAGTGACTCAGAGAAAGGTTTTGATACTTAGCGTGGTCCAGGACACGTAGGAAGTAAATGTTCCTGTAATGGACAAAATTAAATTCAACTAAAACTTGCAAACAAGTATTAATAGTATATGAAGACTTGATTGAACCCTCCATAGAAAAGAGTAGGAAAGGTAATTTCTCTACTCAGTTTTTGACACTGTTACTAATCCAAGGACCTTCATTTGGGCTTTGACATCAAATGCTGTGATATAAGTCAGGAAAGAGATGTCTCTCTGTTTAACAGTCTTTTATAGTCTTCTAAAGAGAAAGTCCTGAAAATCACCAAAGACTGCTACCCAGAGAGTATTTGGGAAGGAAACAGGTTTATGGCTATATATAATCAATACCAAAAATATATTGTAAAATAAATGACTCTTCAATATATAAATAGTCAAGATGTAGGGAGTGATGTCTGAATCCAGTGCTAACATATATCTGGATATACTAATGAAGCACATGGTCTTTAGGGGGAAAAAAACTATTTAATTACATGTTCAAAATGTGAGAGAGTGGGAATGTCTTTTTTTAAACATATGAAAGTAGTTTCAAAGCCATGAGATTCAGAGAAAGTAGAGGGAAAGAAAGATGGACAGCTATCTGAAGGAAGACTAGCAGTAAATTGAACAGTAGACAAAATCAGTCAATAATTTGAGATTATAATTAAAGTACCTTATTACCCATATGGTTTATTTCTGTTATGGTTATAATGGCCTACTCTTAAAAAAATTTAAAAAAATCCCACAGCACTGTTGCACTTGCAATTTCTACATTTATTCAGTGAAAACAGGAATCAGGAAGATTAAAAAAAAACCAAATAAATTGTGTCCAGCTAACACTAACTGGTAAGTTTTAGACATAAATACAATTTCAATAAATTAGTTTGCAAGCATGGTGTGCTCCAATAATAATAATAATAATAAAAATAAGATAATAATAAGAAAAATGTGAATAACTTTTTAAATTAAAAGATAGTGTATTTGATAAGAAATGTTCTGCATGTATTAACAATAAATTTGTTCTGGATTAATATCAGTCTAACTAAAAAGTAAGATATATTACATTATTTTTGATACCTGACTTCTGAAAACTTTTAGGTATTTAATGATTTATGGGCAGAGAGGGTATTTTTAAGACTCTCTAGGTAATAACTTTTTCAACAAAGAAGTTCATCATGTTTATGGCAGTTTAGCAACGTTTCCTTTAAGCTGTATGGTCCCTGACAGAAACTAGTGTGATATATTTCTTATTCATTCAGGATATGCTTAAGAAAGTCAAAGTCTGCCTGGAGTTGAATCTGGTGAGGGATGTCAAAGGCAAAAAGAAGTGCTTCTGTAAATACATCAGTAGCAGGAGGACTATGGAAAATGTGATCTCATGGCTGAATGGGACAGGGGCTCTGATGACAGCGAATGTGGAAAAGGCTGAGGTACTGAAGGCCTTCTTTGTTTCTGTCTATACTAGCAAAGACCTTCAGGAATTGTAGAATGCAGGGAAGAGTCTGGAGCAGGAAAGATGTACCCTTGACAGAACAGGTTTAGGTCAGAGAATACTTGAGTAAACTGAACATAGATAAGGCTCTGGGCACTGATGAAGTGCTGAGGGAGCTGGCTGATATCACTGTGAGGATACTCTTGATAATATTTGATTGATCATGGAGACTGGGAGAAATGCCTGTAGACTGGAGGAAAAATTCTAAAAGGGCCAGTATGTTGTGCTAAAAAGCTGCAGTCTCATTAGTCAGATTGTGTTGTTGCTTCTGTCTTCAGAAGGGCAAGGAGTACTCAGGGAACTACAGGGTGATCAGCTTCACCTTAATACCCCAGAAGGATGGAAGATGATGGAGCGGCTAATCCTGGAAACCATTTTAAGACACATTAAATACAAGAAAGTGATCTGGAGTAGCCAGCATAGCTTTACCCAGGGGAAGCCATTCTTGACTAACCTGATAATTTTCTACTATGAAATGACTGGCCTGGTAGACAAGGGGAGTGCGGTAGATACTTGTTTCAGTAAGGCTTTCAGCAGTGTCTCCTGTGACATCCTCATAGAGAAGCTGCTGAAGTATGGACTGGGTGAGCAAACAGTGAAGGTCAACATAAAAGTTGCAGAAGAGATGGAGGAGGGTGGTGATCCATGATGTGAAGTCTAGTTGGAGGCTAGTAACTAGTGTTGTACTCCAGGGTTCAGTGTACTGACTTCAATCCTATTCAGCGTCTTCATTAATGATCTGAATGATGGGGTAAAGTGTACTCTCAGCAAGTTTGCTGATGACACAAAAGTGTGAGGAATGACTGATATGCCAGAGGATTGTGCTGCCATTCAGAGGGACCTAAAAAGGCTGAAGAAATGGGCTGACAGGAATCTCATAAAGTTCAGGAAGGCAAAGTATTAAGTCCTGCCCCTGGGGAAGGTTAGCTCTATGCCCTGGTGTCTACTGCATGGCAAGCATCTGGAAAGTAGCTTTGGAGAAAAGTCCATGGGGGTCCTGGTGGACACCGAGTTCAGAATGAGCCAGCAGTGTGTCCCTGTGGCATAGAAGGCTGATGGTATCCTTGACTGCATAAGAAAGAGTGTTCCCAGCAGATCAAGGGAGGTGGTTGAAAATCCTGTTACTCTCCTCAGCAGTGGTGAGGCCACATCTGGAGTACTTTATTCTGTTCTGTGCTTCCTGGTATAGGCAAGGCCTGGAGAGTCTGACAAAGGGCCACAAGGTTGATTAAGGAACTGGGGCAGGACTCCTGTGAGGAAAGGCTGAGAGTGCTGGGACTGTCCAGCCTGGAGAAGCAAAAGCTTGGCAGGATCTTCTTCATCTATATAAGTACCTGAAAAGAGGGTGCAAAGAGGACAGACCCAGGCTCTTTTCAGTGGTGCACGTGACATGACTAGAGGCAGTGGGCACTTGCCAAAATGCAGGAAGCTCTGCCTGATCATAAGGAAACAGTTTTTCACTGTGAGGGTGACCAAGCACAAGTTGTCCAGGGAGGTTGTAGAATCCCCCTCCTTCAAGATACTCAAAAGCTGTCTGGACATGGTCCTGTACAAGTTGCTCCAGACAGCCCTGCTTGAGCAGGCAGGGCTTGGACTTCATAAGTTTACAGTAAACACACTGATCCCTTCCTACTTGCCCCTATTATCACATACATGAAAAAATTAAAAGGAGGGGGTAACAGTCAACTCTAACGTCACCTCTTTTCATTTTTATTTTGTCTTCTTAGCTTGCAGTGAATACAAAAGCAGTATTTGGGCAACCCACCAGCAACAGACAGAGTTGAGGAAATTTTTAGAGGAAAACTGCACTATACTACTGTAGAATGACTGCAAATAAAAGATCGCTTTGCCAGCAAGCTTTGAGAGTGGCATATTTTGTTTAAATCACAAAAAATATTTTAAAGTCTGTATTGATCCTTCACATCATAAATACACTTAAATTTCTACAAGTATATTAGCCTGATACATTTGTTTAGTATATACAGAGCTGAACAACTTGTAAGATACAAAATGTGAAAAGGATATATTTACACTTGTATGCAATGTGTGCAGTTAAAAGATGATAATTTTGTCAATTAAAATCAGTCTTTCATTAGAATACACTAATGTAAATTTTTCCCTAAGAAGTTCTGCTTTCCAAATGTTAACTTTCTAGGAAAAATATCTGAATTCATGCAATTTTTCAGAGCACGTAGAGAGTGAATTTAAATTTTCAACCTAAATCATAGTTGCTTATGACTTAAAATGGAAATAGACTTCACTCCCTGTATTGCTGCTGCAGTTAATGATGATAGACCCTATACCTTGTTACATCTCTGGGACTGCAGCAGCAGATTACTTCAGGATCATCTTTTCAAGCAGGCTGCCTATGCTGTTTCAGGGTTTTTGTTGGGGTTTTTGGTTTGGTGTTTTAATGGATGGAGAGGGGGTGGAGATAAGGTTGGTTTTTTTCCTTTTGACATGTAATACAATATATACTTTCTCACATAGACCAGGAGGAAGAGAAGGGGTGTGACTCTCCTTTTAACTAACTAGCCTGGTCTCAACACCAGCTGCTCTACAGCACTCTCTGTGAAGTTAAAAGCAGCAAATGAAAAAAAAAATTAAAAGGGCCAGTGTGTTGTGCTAAAAAGTGCAGTCTCATTAGTCAGATTGTGCTGTATGTGAACAGAGAATGTAGCAGGCTCTTTGTCCTGTAGCTTCCTGGGTGAGCTAAATGGTTCCTGCAGCCATGAAGCTGACCTACATCTACAAGCATTGTCAGTTCACATCTAAGCTTTACAAAAATCTTCAGGAGAAGGAAAACAGAAAGGATGCTGTCTGTTTGTAACATGCCTCTCTCAGAGATGGTGGTAAGTTGGTTTTTTTTTTGATTTGGAGGTGGAATACAAGCAATTTGGAAGTCTGAGATTATTTCAGACTGTTTTCAAAAGGAAACTAAGTTCAGATTTTTCAGACTAAGAAAAGGTACAGATGAGAAGAGAGAAAAATTTCTCAGATAGATGAAAAAGAGGACAAATACACAATTTGGGAAGAGAGGGGAATTACAACTGGAACAACTCTTGATTCAAGATTGATTCTGACTGGGTCTGGGCACTTCCTACTTTCTCTGCCAGGGGTGACCTGTGGAGATTTTCGGCCTTTAGGAAGAAGTTGAATTGAACACTGCTAATATTCATTATGTTTGTGTCAGTAGCTGCCTGGGAACAATGTCTCTAACATTTATGTCTCTGCCAGTCCTTATCACCGCTGTCTCGGTGTTCACAGAATCACAGAATATTCTGAGTTGGAAGGGACCCACAAGTCTTAAGTCAATGGCCTGTGCGGGGACCAAACCTGTGACCTTGGTGTTATGAGTACCATGCTCTAAGAAACTGAGCTAATCTATTGTCAGTGGGGTTAGAAAAGAAAGGAGTTAATAAAAATTTAAAATCTAACAAAACTTGGAAAAAATACAATAATAGTAATAATATTAATTTTATAGGCAGTGGAGCTGACAGAAGATATCACAGGAGGGTTCTGGCAAGGAAATTAATAGAGGGCCATGACACTGTGGGGCATAACTAAATATGAAGGGAAATTCATGTTGGAATTGCAGAGGGATTTTAGCTGCTGTAACAGCATACAGCTCAGGCTGCCTAGTAAGAAAATTATTATCTCTCTTTTAAACTGTTACTTGTAATACATGTGTGCAACCATGCCAGTGGATCCTAAAATGCTAATAAAGTTATAGGATTGAGGAGAGTATGGTGAAAGCCTATCAGTCTTCCCTTGTGTGCTTAAAGTTACTGTAATTACCAAGTAATAAAACTGTTAAGATTTGGGGACACCGAGCACATCTAATTTTCCCAACATCTCTGTTAGTCACTGTGTATGCCAAACATTTCAAAGTACAATCGTATGAAGAAGTAAGAGTGGGGAGTGTTATTTATTTAAGCAAAGTGGTCTCTCATCTGCAAGTCTGCACAAATCCTACAGTGGACTTGTACAAATAATTCTTCTTCTTTTCATTTTTGAAAGACAACAAAAAGTTTCATTATTTGTATTTACAGTGTTGTGGTGTTGTGCTTGCACATTTAGCATGTTGGGCTTGAAGACCACAGTTCTAGTCAAATTAAAAGTTTAGTTTTCTATCTTGCTGTTGGCTGGTGGTGGACGTAAGAGTATGATACTGAGATTAAAGGCAGCTGGTTTCATGATTACCTGTCTTTCTTCACTCTGTTGCTCTTCTTACTCGTACTGCATGTATCTTACCTGATTCTGTGGTGGTCCATATGTGTACTACATCTGCAGAAAAATAAATTAAAACAGGGGTTTTTTTGCCAGTTTAACATGAAAGAACAGTGCAAGAGAGTGTCAAATGAGTGCTGGTGCTAGTCTGTAAGAGAAAGACACAATACTACACTAGAAGGAAAACGAGAAACAGTGATTGTATCTTTCAAAAATTCATCACCTTATGTTTCTATAGAACACGCACCTATAAATTGAGATATATGTCAGGTAAAGTACTGTTCTTTATCCTTACACCAGTTGAGAGATCTTGATTATAATTAGATACAATTATTCATAAGTTGTGCTGTATAGAATAAGACCAAAACTTAAAACTTACAGTGAACAGGCTTGTCTTTTTATTGATACAGAGCTGTATTAGCTCTAGCATATCATATACAGTCTGTAACAACATTGTTTTTACATGCAGTCCTTCTTTGGTACAGATGGGGACAGGGGTTAATTATGACTTAGCTATGCATTTAGGACAGATTTTACTATTCTCATCTAATACGTATTTCTAATAAGAAGTTAAAAGGCCTTATGTTCCTTTAGTGCAGTGCTTGGATCAGCACTGTTACACTTGCATATCACTGAATATTCATGACTCTGCAGTTGGTATGCATATGTATGTAAAAAGGAAGAAAGTTGGAATAAAATCTGGGCAGTGACTGTTTCACAAATGGTAAGCATAAGGTGTTTAATGCAAAATTTTAGGATTCTATCATCTGTGGTAAATTATATCAGAGGATATAGAGCAGGCGTTCCTTTTGGAATCTCTTCTACATATCTACTCAATCTTCATCCTGGCATCTCCATACCTGTCTGGTAGGAGCAGAACAGAGACACAACTGTGAAATGGGAATTTAAGTTAGATTATTTTGTTTGGGTTTTATGTAGTTTTGAATGGAAGAAAGGTAAGGAGGGGCATGGAAAAGATGCATAAAATTGGAATTGATGCTGTGCTTGACAAATAAGGCGATGTGAGATACAGTGCCCTTACAATTGTGAAAAGCAGATGTTACATATGTCATGAGGTGTAAGACCAACTTTTCAGGTAAGTAACAGTAATCAGCAAAGGAGGAGTTATGGCTCTAACTGCCCACAATGTGCTGACATCTGTACATTCATGTTCTGTCTTTGGACCATTTGGAAATGGAGCTGCATAACTCTGCCACCAGATGATGTTTCACCTGCTTTACACAAAGGATGGCACATATACTAAGCTTTATGTCCTTTTCACTTTTATACATGCAATGCAATATTATTTTGTTATCCATCCTTTTAGCAGAACCTTTAATGTTATCGCAACCAAAATGTCTTCAAATGCAAGGATCTCCCCTTTTTGGGTGATCACATCAGCAGTTGAGATCTACATTTGTAGCACAAGGCATTCAGATTTTTCCCATGCTCCTGTACCTCCTGCTTTAGTCAGAAATGTTGCCCCTTCCTTACAAGGGGCTGTTCCTTCCCAGTTAACCATCATAGTTGTCACTGTGCAGCTACTTCAAATCTCTCTTCACCATTTTGATTCATCAATAGTAAAGGTAAGGCACTTCTCCAGGTAATTCCCATTACCTAGTTCCAAAATAAAAACAGTCAGTGTTTTGTATTGGACATGTGTTTTACTCAGCATCTTGGTGATCAAGGGATTTTTTTTAACCATGTTTTTTGGAAAGCCTCAGGTTACAATGTAGCTGGTTTTTTTTAAGCTTTTGGGTTTTTATCACTGATTAATTAAAAGGAACAACAGGATTTCATTTAGTATAGCAGAAAATGGGAATTTATAAGTGGAACTGTCACATCCCTTTACAGATGAATTTGCAATTTGATGTACTAAGAGAGGGGTTACAAAAGAGAGGAAATAAGATGGGGGAAGAAGAGAAGTAGGATATGGGATTAAGAAGTAGAGTGATTGAACATTAATTTGTTACATGCTTATCTTCCTATTTATTCCAATAAATGAAAATTAGGGCTATATCCAAAAAGTGCTAGGATGATGCTATCTCTGGCTTCTATGCTATGAGGAATACAAATGCACTTAGAGCTTTTGTAGCCTTGAATTCAACACCACAAATTTTAAAAGGTAGTATTTTAAATATTAGTTATGTGGTAATTGGTCTATCAGATCTGGTTGTTTGCATCTAATAATCTGTCTTTTTATGAGTGTGAACTGATGACAAATTTTTCTGAAGTCCATAAGAACTCTTAGCCTTCAGAGTATCTTTAATGGTGGCCAATAATAGTCTAGGTTGCTAGCATCTACTGAAGTATTACATCATAATATCAACATAACTGGTCTACTCTGGCCTCCAATCGGGAGGCCTGGAGACACACCATCTATAACGCTGCTGATGCTTTTGAGAAAGCACGCAGGATCACTCTTGAGGAGAAAAGACAACGCAGAAAGATTCGTGCCTTGCAGAATATTCCACCTAAGGAGTCTTTCTACTGTGCCTTTTGCAACCGGACGTGCCTGTCTCGTATTGGCCTTTTTAGCCACCAGCATGCTTGTAACAAACGTGGGTAGAGCCCTTCCCAAATCTTTGTTTGTGAAGCCTAGCCATAATGATGATGATGATGATGATGACACTGACAGGGGATTTTCATTTTGCATCAAATGCTGACAGAAACGACTGATATACAACTTCTAACAGTGCAGCACTTTCCTACTGCTCTTCATACTGTTGTATCAATTCTGGCTCTTCTGAGCTGGTTATGATCTTGTAGCTTGAAGCCCTAATATTTTGACTTCGGAGGGTAATTTATGGAAGGTAAACCAATGAGGTATCATTATGTTTTTTGGCTGTCTCCAGGCATTCAGCATTGGTTAATCTCTTGTACCTCATTTTATGGAATCTAAGTTTACTGAGTTAAAGTTGGAAAAGCAGTCTGTGAGTTGAATGCATCTTTGTCTTGTACTTGGTCTTTGGACACTAAATGTAATTTTAGCATTTAGGATTCTGGGATTTGTTAGTAGTTAGTCACTCAATCTTCATAATGAAAATCTTAATTTTATCTGTGGGATTGATTTGTTACACAGTCATTCAGTGTTTTCCTTGACTTTGTCTATTTTGAGAAATAGTCCTTTCTTCCAGGAATGTAAGAAATAAATAATAGTTTCTGTGATTGCAATATGCTGCTGGGTTTTCAATTAGTGTTAGTAGTTATTCCAAATGGTTAAAGAATCAATTTATGTTCTTTAGAAAATGATAGGTATTTGGCTGAAGTATATAGAAATCCAGACAGTAATACAAAATCAATCTTTTGTAAGGTTATTTGAGGTAATGATATAGCGATAAGTTAATTTTACAGTGATTAAGAGACAACACAGTTGGGGCTCCCAATTAGACTTTGATCTGAGGATATTTCTCTCTACACTTGATGAGCAAGAACGAGATGAGAATTAGTGGTAAGACATGAGGCTTTGAGCAGCTGGGGTCCATATTCTGTGTTATGAGAGTTGGTGTTAAGGAAGATTTTAAAGTTAACTGAATACATATTGTTTGATTTCTCATCCTTAAAATTTATTGATTTTAAATTGACATCTAAAATATCCTCTGCTATTGAGAGTACCTGAAAAGAACAGTTAAATGGTATACATTTTCACCAGAAAAAAAAAAAAAAAAAACAAAAAACCAAACCCAAACCTCCAAACCAATTATAAAACACCCCACCCCACATTAAAAAAAACCTCAGCATTCTTGTGGTGGGTGGAAAGGTAGTCTTCGTTTGCTGTCTCTGGATACTGTACCTTTATGAACATAAAAGGAGGGATAGTAGACCAAGGGCATGACTTGCTCTTGTGCTCTCTTACACACCCCGTATGGCAACACTGAATGCATAATGCCAAGTACCTTGTAGGTCCTGAAGAGAAAAGGAACTGTGTGTTAGTGTTATCTCCAGAGGGGGTGTGATTCCTGGCATATCCACTCTACATACTCCTTCCCCATGTCTGAACCATAGATCTCAATGCTGGGACTGGGCAGAATCTAGTCTGTTGAAAAGGCTAAAAAATTGTTATCCTTATGTCCTGTTGTTTCTTTGTGTTGAGATACTTTGTATAATAAACTAAAATGGTAATAATGAATGTTAAAGACACTTTATATATCAGGAATTTTTCCATGGCCTGGAAATCAAAAGAGTTGTCCAGGCAAAAATACAACATGATTAATGATGGATATAAACAAATAGCATAGGAATGTAAGAATAAAATTGATGACTCTGAATAACAAAATAAGTTTCAGTTTACAAAGCACAAGAAAAGAATCAGTGAAAGGATCCAAAAGTCTGAGTAAGAGGAGGCACAAAGGGATAGGTCCATTACCTAGATGTTATTAAATAAGAAAGGAGAACAAGTAACAGTCTTTCAAAGACTGATTCTTTACTTCAGAAATTGTAAAAGAGATATATTGTGACCTACTCCTTTCATAAAATTAATCTTATACAGGAAATAAGAGTGGAACCAAAGCACAGAAAGAATAGCCTAAGGAATCTTAATATAGATGTGCTCAAGTGGCAAATCCTAATAAAATTCATCCTAGAATGATTGAGGAATTAGGCACCACTGATTTTATTTATTTATTTAATATCCCAGAGGGTGAAAATAGCCAGTAAAATGGGTTTGTACAGGCCTGTTTTTGTGCCTGTTTATTCTTCTGTTAAGAGAATTATTGAAGCTGTCAGTTTTGATTACAGATAAAGGTTTAGGAGTAAATAGTTTAGCAATTAATTTGTATCTAATAATGGATAGAAGAGAGATTGTAAAACAGCCAGTATGATTTGATGAGACCTGTTTGTAAGAAACCTCAGTCTGTTTCTCCTCTTAAAAGGGATCACAAGTTTAGGAAGAGGAAAACTTTAAGGAAAATACGGCTTGATTTTAATAAAGTCTTTTTCCCTACATAGGCAAACTAAGGAAATGTAATATCAATGGTATCTCCATTAGATGCTGATATTATCAGCATCACGGTGAAAAGTTGCCTCTACTGAGTAATTATCTGTAGTGCCCTGTCAAGATGAAAAGGCATTAATGAGTTGGATGATGGAAGAGAACACGTACTTAGAAATGTTACTCAGGATAGTAGTCAGAGAGGGGTTTAAAATTTGTTTGTTTATTTTTTTTATTTTATTTTCAACATAAGATATGAATCCAAAAAACTCTTGATGGGTTTGGAGAAAATATCTAAAATCAACAAGATGAAAAGCAATGCAGGCAAGTATGAAGCACTGCATTTAACAGGACAAACTCAAATACATGAATCAAAACCAGGAAATAATTATTCAGAGAGAAAAGTGACAGAAAAAGATAAGAAGATATACTAGACCTCAAGGTAAATTTTAATATGCTGCTGGAAAAGAGTAAAGTTGTTTATTTGTGGGGTTTGTTTGGATATTTTTTTCTGGAGGATCATACCAGGCATCTTGTAGGAAAGAGAATATTGTCTAATTTGGCAAATCTTCTGTGCGTAGTTGGCCCCCTCGCATGCCTTGCTGCTTTTTGCTCTGAGAAGGTGCAACAAAATGGAAATTCTTCTCTGTTGTTGTTACTGTTTTCTGCTGTGGAATGAAAAGCATCCTTCTTTGTAATAAAGATGCTTCAGATTGAACATGAGAAAAAGATTCTTTGTAATTATTAGAGTGATAAAACACCGGAGAACAAACTATTTAGAAAAACTGTGGAATTAGCTTTCTTGGTAGTTAAACACCTGTCAATATATTCCTGAACCTATGTTTGTGCTGAGTTAGGATTTGGTAGTCCCTTGTGTTCTATTCCATCCCTGCATAAGTATAATGCTCCGAATACATGTTTTGTCTGCACGGAAGAGATCGTCTAAAAGAGTTGGAGCAGTAAGGAACAAAGTTATTTTTGTCATTTAGTACATATATTTTTATTTGGTTTCCCAAAAAGTTTTTACAAATCATAAAGTTATTTTGAAGCTTTTGCATATAGGTTCATTTTTCTTTTAATGATTATGCTAGAAAAGCAGGAAATGCAATTGCAGTAGTTCTGAGATAGTAGAAACCCCTTGATTACTTATCCACAATGGAATAGTCATTTGGGAAAAATGGCACCCAAGAGGTTACTTGGATTTGTATATTTCTGCAGGCAAAGTTTACAGACCTGTAAATTTAAATGTAGAATTTTTGTAGGCAGAATGCATTGACAGATATCCATGATGGTAATACATCTCATACTGATAGTTCCAGAAGAGGTCAATAATAATGCTTATATTGATAGCAACAATGCAGGAGATGTTACTTGGTATTATAGCTAAAATCCATGTTATCACCTTAATTATAATTACATTAATATTGACAGGCTGTTGACAATACTCACATTACTATTGATAGATTTCTGTCAATAACATGTTTCCAAATAAAATATATTCATTCATAATTTGTACAACGCTCAATAACAGCACTAATATATATCAGCAGAAATTCCTCTTTCCCTAGTGATATACAATCATTATTTTTTTTGTTTCGCAATGTACTGTACAACTATTTATTTGCTTAGTTAAAAAAAATCCAAAGCAGACAAAATATAGGTTATTTAAGAAAGAATCATATTAGTTTTTTTGGGTTTTTTTTGTGGGAGACCATTCAATTTTGTTCTATGCAATATCTGTGACAGTATAATATCAACAAAGAACCTTTCAAGTAGTAGTCTTTACTATTCTGTCTTAAAATGTATTTATATAATAAGTTAATCACACATAGAGTTTATCATATATTTGAGTGTTGATACTTGTCTCTTTCATTACTGGGTCTATGATTCTGAGTTCTTAGGTTTTAAACTACTTAAAATAAGAGAGTTAAAACAGTAAGGATTTGACAATTCCTTATGTCCAATTGGAATTTTTCGTGTAGCGACTTAACACACAGTTGTCTCTTTCTTTCACTTCATCTCACAGAAAAGTTTGACTTAATCTTAATTGCAGCCCTTAGGTAGTGCAAGATTACTCATAGATCACTTCTTAGCTGCCTTATTTTCAGTTGAATAATCAGAGTCCCTTCTAGCTCTTCTCATATATCAGGTCTTGGGGCTCCCTGATGGTGTTAGTGACTGGGCTCTTCAGTTTGTTGACATTTCTTTTGTACTATTGATAGAAATGAGGCAAAACTGGAGGTATTATCCCAGGTGTAGACTCAACAATGCCAAGTGGAGGGTAATAAGCACATCCTCCAGTCTGCTGGCTATACCCATGCTAATACACTGCAAGGATGCACTGGTGACTTGTGTTCAGCTTTCTGCCTACCAGAATCCTTGCATCCTTTTTTCAAAGTGGGTATACAGTCATAGAGGCTCCCAGCCTATAAGGATCCATTGACTTTCTCGTGTATTTCATGATCCATCATAATCCTATGTATTTGACACTTTTTCCTTGGATTTCAGAAGGTTCCTGATGACCCATTCCTCACTTGCTCAGGTTTCTTTAGATAATATGGCTATAATGGGGGGGGAAATCTGTACAGATTTAGTCTACCTTGCTTAAGAGAAATCTGCAACAGAAATTTCTCATAGCACCTGGGATAATGGAACACAGCTGGAAAAGATGGTTGAACTGATGTTGGAAAATCGTCTTAGATGGATCAAGGAAGTTGTTTGATAAGATGTCCCTTTTGAGTAACTTTAGGATTTTTAAAGGAGATTTTGTGTCTTGGGAATTGTATAGAACACTGAAACAAGTTGAACAGAGTGAAATGAGTAGAAGAGAAAATCAAGAAGACATTAGACTTCTGGGGGTTATGAGTGAATAACACTAAACCAGAGTGACAGGTTCCAGAGCAAATGGTTGTAAGAGGCTCTGGTTCCTAAAATGGTAGTGGGGTAAGATGAGGGGTAGAAGATGGATAATCATTAGCACTCAAGCTCTTGAAGTGATACAGTAAGGGGTTGAATTGACCCTTTGATCATAAAGTAGAGGAGTGAAGTTATTTGGGTAGTACTGAAAAATGTTTCCTGTGCTTCGGTTCCTGCTACAGAACAGTGTGAGTGAGACAGGCTTGGGTGTACAGCCTTGGTATGCTGGCTTTTCGGCCTGTCTGGGTTGATGCAATGAACCCCAAAGCTGTTTGTCCAGAGGAGGTGGCCTTGTGCTACTTTCAGCCCTATTTTGCCTGCTAATGAGGAAGGAGGAGTTTAAAGGGGTTTTCTGTAAACTAGGTCTTTGTGTTGAGTATTTTAGTGAAATTCTTTTCTTGGTTATATTTTACTCCTGTAAAACCTTTTGCCAAAATGTCTTATTTCTGTCACTAAATTAAAAGAAATTCTCTTAACGAAAGCGTAGTAGCGTTTTCTCTGGACGCCAACTCGAGGTAATAACGAACCAAAAGGCTTTTAAAAAGTCTTAAATAAATGTAACTACTCTGGGCAACTTGTGGCTTAAAATCCAGAGTGTAACAGGTGTTATCTGTATTTTGCTATTGCAGTTTGATGCATTTATTTTCTTAGTCATAGAATTCCAGATACAATAACATTTAAAGGAAGCAATTTTAAAAAAGTAAATCCTACATTTGTTAGTATTTCTAAGATTATACTTTCAGCTGCAGCTACCGAAGTGTTCATGTTGGTATATTTTCTGTCCTCCCCACTATTCTTTTCTAGATTTTTAGTTAATATGTTCCTTTTCCCAATTTATCCATACAACACCATAAAATATTACAGTTCTTTCTGATCTGTTTTAATGTCCGGTTGAATATTACAGTTATGCCCTGCAATATTTTTTTTAAATGTGCACAGTGAAATACTAAATTGCTAGATCTAGATGTTGAACACTTCTCTGTAATGAAATCCAAATATTGTTTATGAGAAATAGTCAAATATAATTTCTTTTGAGTTGAAATTTCTTACTGTTAATGCAAAGCTTCTTGAAAGGATTTGTAACATATTAATAACAAATAATAGCATTCTGAATATATTTATTTACTGCTGGTATATTACAATTTTGTTATCTTTAATAAAAAGAGAAATAGGAAATGCTCCGTTACACTGAAATCTATTTGTGTTTTATTCCTAGAAAGTTTTTTCTCTGAAGAAATGGCCTCCAGCACTGGAAATGAAAAGGGCGTGAATCCTGTGCTCAGAATAAGTCAACTTGATGCTCTTGAACTAAACAAAGCCCTGGAACAACTCTTGTGGTCCCAGTTTACCAACTGTTTTCATGGATTTAAACCAGGGGTGTTGGCTCACTTTGAACCAGAAGTAAAAGCATTTTTATGTCTTATATTATGGAGATTCACTATCTATTCCAAGAATGCAACTGTGGGACAGGGTATTCTGAATATTCAATACAAGAATAACTTATCTCAGACAGAGAAATACCAACCTCTGAGCAAACAACAAAAGTTATGGTATCTTATTTTCACTGTTGGTGGAAGATGGTTGGAAGAAAGATGTTATGATTTATTTAGCAATCGTCAACAACAATCTTTCTCCAAAATTAAGAACTATATTAGCTTTGGAGCTGGACTTCTAAAACTTTGTGGACTTCTAAATTTTCTGATTTTTCTTCGGAAGGGAACATTTGCAACACTTACAGAACGCATTCTAGGAATTAGGTCAGTTTTTTGCAAGCCACAAAGTGTTCGTCAGGTAGGATTTGAATACATGAACAGGGAGCTCTTATGGCATGGCTTTGCTGAATTTCTGATTTATCTACTGCCACTTATTAATGTACAGAAACTGAAACTTAAAATTTCGTCTTGGTGTTTGCCTATTGCAGGTCTTTCCAATAGTGAAAACACGTTAGCAAGCCACTGCAGGGAATGTTCACTGTGTGGGGAATGGCCTACTATGCCTCATACCATAGGCTGTGCACATGTTTTTTGTTACTACTGTATTAAAAGTAACTACTTATTTGATATGTATTTTACATGTCCTAAATGTGGCTCAGAGGTACACACTCTTCAACCACTGAAGTATAAAATTGAAATGACAGAATTGCATGTCTGATATGTGGTTGATTTTGTTTTATACAATACATGAAATATATTGAAGAGATTAATGGAAGAATTCGGAGGCTATTGGAAGCTTAGAGATGGTTTTGGAGACTCTGTAATTTGTCATAACATATATTTTTACTGCTCTTAGTTTTTTTATTGAGTAACAATGCTGTAATGCCCCTGTCTGCTTGGTGGGTTTAGGGGAAGGTGGTTGGATTTACTCCAGGTGGTGCATGGGAGAAACAACAAAATTCTCAGGAGGTTCAATAGCAACTTTTACTTGCAAACTGTAGAACATTCTGATTGATTAAGGCACTTGACAGACTTAAATTTGGTAATCTTTAACTCATCCAGACACAACAAGGCACTTAACAAGGCATCTACTAGAACCTTTTGGTCTGGCTTACAATATATTTTGAGGAGAAGAAGGTAGGAGAAGAGAGAGGAAGGTAGATTATCACCACCCCAGGATGCATTATAGTCTCAGCAGCTTTTAAATCCAGGATAGTGGAGCACACCCCGTGGCACACTGTCAAGGGTGGGAGTGGAAGGCTTAGACAAAATTTATCGAAGAAGCCCTGCTGTTGAGTCACAAGGTGCAGAAAGTATCCAACCTTAGCTTCGGATTTTGTCAACGGTTTAAATTGAAGGAATTATAGAGGTGTGATGGAACCACTTTTGTCCCGCAGGTTTTAATGATGGCAAACCAAGAATGTTTATATAAAATGAATCATTTATTATTACAAACGATCAGACAAGGATCTTAACCAGAATTATTTACTATACAATATAAATGCTAAAACTACTAGTAGTATACTAGTATAAGTGTACTATCTTATACTAGTAGTATAAGATAGGACAGTGCTCTATATTGAAGCCATTCTTGAAGCAATTATATTAAGGGTAGCAAAAAGAAATAATTATTACGTAGAGATTTAATGTAACTCAGCCATACCAACGCTTGTGGGGAGATCTCTTTTGCTCAGCTTCGAGGAATATCCTTGAGGGACATCCCCAGCCCGAGGGAGGAATCTCTGCACATACACCCAAGAAGAGTTATGTTAGAAGAACCTGACTCTATGAGAGGGGACTGGACTTTTATAGTATAAAAGCAATTGACTGCTAGTCGCAAATTTGCAGGCCAGCTACCAGCTTATCTGTCACATCCGACTTTAAAAAGCAGGATTTGTGTTTGGAATATGGTGAACCAGGCTGGTTTTAGCATAATTCAAAACCAAAAACATTACCATGGGACCACTGGTAACTCATCACAGATAGCTTGCATTGTTTGCATTCTGTGATCAGATTCTGGGCCTTATCAGGGTAGGCCCTACTGCCACGTGCATGTGTCACCATCCTTTTATCTCTTCTGGTCTGCTGGGGCCCTTCCCTAGGTGAGTTGATGCTAATTTCAGAACCAAAGTCTCATGGGTGTGTTTGCACAGACCCAGAGTGTTCCTGGTGAGTCCATGCAGTCGACTGCCCCCGTTACCATGTGGATGGGTGGCTGACTTCCCAATGCATGTGTTCTGCACACTGCAGTGTAAGAAGGCTCAAAGGGGCAGGGGGAGCAGTGCACAGCCCACCTACCCAGAGCTCACCCTCTTCCCCCACTGCTTCCCACCTGGTTGTTTTGACCCAGTCAGCCATTCCTCTGGTCTTCTACAAGTGCCAGCTTGGCTCTGAAGCAAAGAAAACAAGTTTACCAGCTCTTCCTCTCTCTCTCAGACTACTTGATCCCAGTTTAGTACCCCTGTGTTGTCAAATCATTTGTTTTTAGATCTAGGCTATCAGCCTGCCACTTCTTCTCTGCATGCTATATACTTCCCTCAAAGACAGAGAGGACACCCAGTAAGTTCTTACCCATTTTGTGTATTTTCTCAAGGTTGTTGTAAAAGTTTGTGCCATTACTAATTTAGCTAGTAGATGGATTCAGTGGAACAGTCATTCTTTTCGTGCCTAAAGAATAATTTTAAATTTGTTTATTTATTATTCCCAGTGTGGTGTTTCACTAAAAAAAAAAAAAGGAGTAAGATGAATTGTCATTTCAGCAGATTTTGAGTTTTCATCATATTCAACTACCATGACAGGATACAACACTAACTCAAGCTTGTTTTCTTGTTAATAGACCATAAACTTTGTGATCCAGCTGATAGATAGGTAAATACCCCATAGTTAACATGTGCCTACAGGAGATATAACCCTTCTGGTGCAAATACAGTGCACCTTTTACACCTTCATGAGATGACTGAACTAGTTTCCTCAGGCAACTGTGCCTCTGTCTTCAGTGACATATATATGACCTTCCACTTCCCTACAAAGTTGAGGGATGAAGTCCATCATTCACTGGAATGTAGCAGCTGCCAAGGGTAACTTGCACTCATCTGAGTCTGAGACACTGGAGAAAACTGTTTACTCACAAGATGCTGTCTGTGGCAATTGACACACTCTTCTTTTTTTGATATGGTCAAGGTGGATGCCAAATCTCACTAACAGTTCACCTCCACAGAGAAAAAAAGTTCAAACGTAGTTATGTGCATGTTAATACATTAAAATAGGTAGCTTTCCTGCTCTTTGCTTTCACTATTTGGTTTCTTATTTGGCTTTGCAATGGTGTTACTGTTCTAACACTTTATCCTTTTGTTCTTCAACCTGGTTTTATAAGATTATTTTTTTGTAGTTTTTTTTTAACAGGAAAAATTAACACAAAAATACGTTTCATCCTCTTTTGACTCTTATATTTTCAAAAACTTATACAGATGATTTGAGTAAATAGCTTTATGGTGGCTGTGTTCTTGATTGGCTATCATCAATAGTCAGTCCCAAAAATACTATGGTAACAACTGATCCACTGTCTTTGATCTACTTTTATGAAATGATTTATTACATTCTACATTCTGATTAAAACAACCCACCAGCCTATTTGTTTGAAGATCTTAAATTCTAGGTTTTGATCTTTAGACTGACACACTTCGCTTTCATCTGATGCAATTAAATATAGTTCGCAAGTTTGTAACTATCTTTGGGCATCCCAAAACTTCATTAATTCTGCTACTGTTCTATGAGTCAACAGAGATTTCAGAGCAATTGCTTCCACATACTGTGCCGCAATGTTATTAGCCATCAAATGTGTATATTAGCAGCCTGCCATATTTCTGTTATTTGCTGTTGCAATTGGAAACACCAGGAGCAAATCTGTCTTCATTAGAAGAATCGAAACTGGTAAGACAGTTGGAGAGTGTCCTGGATTCACTTCCTCATCCTGAAGACATTTTGTATGAATTGTCCCTCCACATCACTTAATACCTTTTCCCAAAGAAATGTATTAGCAACCCTGACTTCGAGGTGGTCTAGTGTCTCCAGAAAGCATCATCAGCATTTCTGCTACCTCTGTCTTTAATTATCCTTATTAATTAAGATCTTTTTGCATCCAAAATCCAGTGTTTGTAGCTTAGAATCATAGTAGACCTTTGTTTGTTGTGAACTCTATTCTGAAATTGAAGTCATGGTGTGATATTTTGTCAAAGGAGCATGGATCCTCTATAGTGGCCTCTGTTAGGTGTCATGTCTTTCTTAGGTAGGAGTTAGCTTCTTTCCTATTTAGAAATGTTTAATTTTTCAGAATATTTAAAGAATGTTATCTTCCTTTTTTATTTCACTTTTCTCTGTCCTGCTGTTTGATTTTCCTAATCTGTATGAATTTCTTGAGGTTTGTTTTGTCTCTTGCAGCTTCATGCAGGTAAAATGTATAGTTTTTCATCCCTATTACACTGTCAGTACAAAACCTGTTTCCAGCAGTTCAGTACCTCTGTACAGCTAGTTTTTGCCAGCTGTGCTATATTGCATTTGACCTCACTGTTTTTCTTCTGGAAGTGAACTTTTGATACTTAACTTCTGATGACTTATTATACCAGAGCATTGGCCTGCTAATGTAGCACCTCCTCATCACTGTGTTGGCTTTGTAGCCCATAGAATTGACCAAGTTTGTAAAGTCTGTTTCTTGTGTCATAACCAAACAGTTTGTGTTACCATAAGATCCTAGATCTTAAGGTGGGGGTTTAGTTCTTTTATTTCCCATGCGGGTAAGCAGATCCCAGGCATCTCACAGTAGTAGAAGGTTTAGGAAGAGAGTGGTTCTTTTAGTCAGATAAAGAATTATTTAATTTTTTTTAATCTACCATTTGGTGAAACCTTTGCTCAGTTTAGTCACAGCTGAGACTGACGAGACCAAGGTTCCAACTTATATATTGAAAAACTACTTGCAGCAAGTTAGCGTTTTAGGACTTCAAAATCAATATTCAGCATCTTCCTTATAGCACTTGAAAATTAAATATATACCTTTTTTTACATTGTAATTCTGTTTTGTTGTGTCTTGTGTTATATAAGCTGCAGAAAAGGCTTACTTGAAGATATTACAGGAAAAAAAAATCAGATAATTTGTAGACTAATCAAGGGATAATTAGTTTTACATACTACTATATCTGGTAATGCTTCCTGCAGTAGAGGGAATAAAATTTATTTTGGAATGTTAATCTCTAAACAAAAGGGTTTTAGTGTTCAGCTACCATGAGAATGTACTTCTGAGTAGTCATCAGTGAAAAGGATAAATGCCTAGAATTTAGGGAAGCTAAAGGACCAGAACTTTTATTCAGTCTTGGATAGAAGTTACAGCCTTGTATCACTAGTTTTCTTTGTGCTCTGTTGTTCGTCTTTGTGTGCTGCATGAATATTTTAATTGTATCAAAAATCATAAAATGAAGTGGTAACTGAAACAGATCGATTATGTTATAAACATACTTGAAAACTTTTCACGTCTTCGTTTGAATGAGAATTACCAGTTGCCACAGTGTGATTCAGGAGACATTCAGCTGAAAGGAGTCAGAGAATGCTGATTCCTTGCTTCCACAAGCCACCACCACTCCATCTACTCTAAATGCTTTAAGAGAGGTTTTATTGAAGTAATGTTATACAAGACTTAAAAGCAGTATTTTCTGTAAAAATATTCTGTAAAAAAAATGAGAAGGATAGTATCTGATTTCTGCATTACCTGGAAATATTTCATTTTTCCATAAATGATGGGCAGAGATGATCTCAACATTAATGAAGAGAAGTTGTGAAGAAACATAAGAGATATATATTTCCTAAAAATCTAATGAAT